AGGCATATTGTGTGAATCATGTTGTTAGTTGCAAAGTTGTGTCCGACCCATGGACAACGTTCCTCCAGGCCTTCCTGTCCTCTACCATCCTCTGGAGTCCATTCAAGCTCACGCCGACTGCTTCTGTGACTCCATTCATTCTCTGTCATTCCCTTCTTCTTTTGCCCTCTATCGTTCCCAGCATTGGGCTCTTCTCCAATGAGTCCTTCCTTCTCATTAGGTGGCCAAAGTATTTGTGTTTCCTCTTCAGGATCTGGCCTTCTAAAGAGCAGTCAGGGTTGATCTCCGTTAGGACTGACTGGTTTGATTGCCTTGCAGTCCAAGGGACTCGCAGGAGTCTTCTCCAGCACCAGAGTTCAAAGCCTCAATTCTTTAGCGCTCAGCCTTCCTTATGGTCCAACTATCACAGCCATCCATTGCAACTGGGAAAACTGGCAGAGTGAATTGTTACCACCCGGGTAATAAAGGAGAGCTGAATTTGTAGAAATTCTACAGGACAGAAGCCCTGAAGGCCTCTTCCAAATCTTATGGATCAATCCATGTACAAGATATTCGGTTATTATTGTTTTTTTAATGTCAGGTTAGCAGGTTCTGTAGCATGGCTTTTGACTTAGTGCAATTGTGTGAATCCTGATGAAAAGGAAAGCAGGGAGAAAGGTACCCAGGCAGGTTTTTCTTAGACTAACTTTATTTTGGCGAGGAATATTTGCAAAGGATACACTTTTTAAAAAAAATAATAAAAGATTCATATGTTCAGCCTGAATTGATGGGCTGAATTGATTGTGCTATCCCCACAATCAGTTTGCTACTGGAGTGGAGGAACAGACTGGGTTCTTAAAGCGATCGATTAAAAGACTCGGCTCTTTTCAAACTGATTTTTAAAATCTTGTTTAGATATATACGTAGGTTTAAGAAAAAGCCTTTTAAATGAATGAGGAATGATCTTGGTATGCCCAGTAGGTGGCAGCATTAACTGCGAAATTAAATGCTGGTGTATTAAGCAGTTTTCCCCTACAATACTATACCAACAGATGGATTTGAAATCGCATTCTGGAAATTGAACATAGAACTAGATAGATAGATAGATAGATAGATAGATAGATAGATAGATNAGAGAGAGAGATTTCCAACTCTTATTTCACCAATGGTTAGAGGGGGGGGAAAGGAGTTTGGAAATGAAGAAAGCTAAAAAATAAGTAGACAATACATTTAGACAGTTATAAATAAGATGAAAACTGTTAGTATGTGTATAATGAGAGTAATGATGTTTAATGTTGATATGATATTATTACTAGAAGATATTAAGAAGAAAAATGGAGAGTTTTATAATGTTTAAATGCTCAATATATTATAATACTAAACTTAGGGAAATAATGTTAATATGAATGTGAAAGATGTGGCAAAAGTGGATCGATGTTGCACAGAGAGGTTTGTACCCAAATGACACACTGCATAAAGAAAGATGGAATGTTTATTTTTGTAACTGAAAAATAAGAAAACTCTTTAAAAAAAAAGACTTCCAACTCTGGGTTTGTTAATGGTTCCTATTCTTTCTTGAGTTAAGGCGTTTGGTCCGGGCATTGCCCAGGTATCTATAAATAAATACCTGGGCAACATTGGGTTATCAGCTAGTTACCTAGATATAAAGAACTTGACTCTACTTCTCCTTACCAAGCATTGGGTGACAGGGCCACTGCAAGGGTGGGACAATGTCCTTCTTCCATGCACACCTCCACATCAAAGACCAATGCTCGTTCATCGGGGAAGTCCACCTTTTCCCTCTCCCCATTGGGACCGTAGCGAGTCCATCCCACTTCCCATGCCCATTCCGTGGGCATTGGCGGCATCTTAAGCTGGATGAGTTCCTTGGCAGCCTCCAGATAGGGGAGGTTTTGCGCCTGAGCCAAGTGGCAGAAATGCTCATCTATGTTCGCTCCGTACATCCGGGGAAGCTGCAGTTCCACGTCAGGAATGGTGGATGTTTCTTTGCCCCATAAGTCATGTTTCTTCAAGTGTTCTACACTCTTCTGGATGTCCTCCTCCGAATAGCGGACTTGAGCCCCCCGGAAAATCTGCTCATGAAGACCCTTCGAGAGCATCTGGATGCCAAGAGGATTCATGCGCTGCTCATCTTTTAGAGGAGCATCGGTATCCGTAGCCATCTTCTCCTGAAGCAGGAGACCTGCTGAGGAACTGGAGGAGCATGTCCTGGGAGTTCTGCCAAGGAAGGATGGACCTGCCAGAGATGTCCTCCATGCCAGCCGTTTCATCTTCACCGCGAACAAGCGGTATGGGAAACAAGCCCAATTTCCTGGCCAGCTCGGATCTGTCAGGAAACAGCAGAGTTAAATGTTTTCCCATTCCAGCATCCCAGATTCTTATAACACCGCCTTGCCAGGGGACAATAAACCGCGATTCGCCACTATTGCAAACTGTGATTTCTTATCACGACTTGCTGAGTCATATTCACGAACAGCTGCGTTTCTTCAACACATGCTGCCCTGAGTATGTTACCTAGTTGGTTCAGGAAATGTCTGCAAGGAAACCATGCACTGAGGACCCCCTCCTTTCAACCCGGAGCTAAAAATATTCTACTAGTGATACCGTTCTGTTTGTCAAGCCCATGTTCCTTTTTCTTACCCTTCTAAAAAAAAAATTGTTTCTTTGTAAATTACGAATACCAATTCTCAAAATCAGGGTATCCATACATCCCCCAAACGATATTCCTTCCCCCTATGGATCTCACCTTCCTGCCGTCTAAATGAGGATTTATCGTGTGCCCTTACATTCTCATGTGGTTTTCAAAACGCTTAAAATTCAGCCAGATTAAAACCCCAACAAACCCATTTATGCAAAAACAAACAGACAGACAGACAGACAGATATAAAGAGAGAGAAAAAAAGGGGGGGAATGTTAATGTGGAGAGAATTTGATGATGTTATGCACTATTGTAATTATCTTGATATACAGTCATATTATTAATGTTACTGTGATGAATATTATAACAAATATATGGATTTTGATTGTCTAAAACCCAGATCTCACACTTGTTTGGTGGAAATGGGAAGTAATATAAATAAAATAAATAAAACACGGGGAAAATCCATTTATTCAAAGGGTTATGTTTACTTAATTGCTAATCATTATTTTGACGTCTGTCAGGCTGGGCAAATCCAGCTCAGTTCGCTCTGTTTAAGGTTGAACGACACATGTAACTTCAGAAGAAAAATGGGTTAATGCACACTAGCAATTCAAGGAAAGGGAGAATCTGATTATTATCATATATGGGTTTTTTTTTAACCATTGGTTAGAAGACGAATAGGGATAAAAAGTATAAAATTAAATAATTTAGGAAGAGAAATGTTACAACAGGAGAGATGTCAAGCTGTAGTTAAAATAAGAAGAGGTGCATCTAAAGAATTGGATGGTCATATAACTATTATATCCAGCAAGCCGGCCTGAATAAAATAAATTATTAATTTTAATTGTTAATTCTAATTTAATTTCTAAATTTCATTGTAAATGTCTATTGGGTTTTTTTTGGGGATATTCTATTTAATCTTTCTTTTAATCTTTGTAATATGTGTTTTTATGTTGTACGCCGCCCTGAGTCCTTTGGGAGAAGGGCGGCATATAAGTCCAATAAACCTAAACCATAAACTTATTATGACACCCACAAAAATTTGTACTCAGATGACACACTGATTAATGAATGATGAAATGTTTGTTTTAAAAGGGAAATTTTTTTTTTTACAAAAAAAGAAAAAATGGGTTCATGCAGGATGAGGGTTAAGCGACAGGTTTCATGCAAGACGCGTGTTAAGCAGGTCGTGGGAATGCATTCTCTCGCACTCACTCGCACACCATCTTCTTTCATCGCCCCCCCCAAAGGTTATTTAAGGCCGTCCTCCACACCCAATGAGGTTATTCCTTGCCCCTACCCCGAAATAGATGCCTGATCACCCCCTACCCCAAAAGAAATCTGCCTTCCTCCTTTTCCCAAGAAAAAAGACACAGGAAGAGAAGAAGCTGCCCCCCCCGTGGCCCTGCCCCCTTTGAAGGTTGCAAAAAAGCCCCCCCCCAAATACCCTTCCAAACGTGCTCCCCGCTTCCTTGCACCCGCTTGCAAAAACTCAAAGCAAATCTGCAGCGCTTCCGTTCCAACTCATGGCGGTCTCTTCCAACTCAAGAGTGGGGGACGACAAAGGATGAAAGTGAAACCAAAAGCTCCTTCTCACGTTGCAAACGCTCCCCAGAAAGAGAGAGCGTCCTTCAGTAGGATATATAAAACAAAACCTAGGTTGAGGGGGAAAACTATCGCTGTGGAGAAGCTAGTTTTGTTTCTCTTTCTTTGCCGGGCCTCCCCTGCATCGGTGTGGGAAATAGTACCTTCCTAAGCCTCCCGGATCCACGGACTCCTTGCTGCAACTTCTATAGGGATCGCGCAGGCTCTTTGCCGGAGTGGCCGCGTGGCCTAATGGATAAGGCGTCTGACTTCGGATCAGAAGATTGCAGGTTCGAGTCCTGCCGCGGTCGCAAGAGAAAGGAAGTTGAAATAAGCTTCTCCATGTTTTTTTAATAACTCAAATGAGAAATGTTTTTTTTTTATTATGCTTTCCTCATTTTAACGGTGGCGTATGTTATTTTCAGTTTCGATTAACCCCTTGGTCTTTTTTCGCTCTATCTGTAAACTGTACTTTAAGTGGGGGGTCCTTGGTGCTCTCTGAACTTGGTTTTTTTCTTGCAAAAGTTTCATTAGAATAGAAGAGAAGAGAAGAGAAGAGAATAGAATAGAATTCTTTATTGGCCAAGTGTGATTAGACACACAAGAAACTTGTCTTTGGTGCAAATTAGGTAACATCATCAGTGTTAGAATACATAGCAAACCCCACTCCCTTCTAGCATTGATGATGTTACCTAGTTGGGTAATGAAACATCTCCAAGGTAACAACCAAGCTCAGAGAGCACCAAGGATATCCTCATTTCAACCCTGAGCTGCAAATATTCCTCTTTACTGGTACTTTAATCTAGCCAAAAGTGCTCCCAAATGTTGCTGGGCCTAAAGGTGATTCCTTTGGACACACAATCCAATGCATTTCAAAGGCCGAAATTTGCTGATTGACAGTCTGCCGAATCCCAGGTAGCAAATGCTTTCTACGGACTGTATCCTGGTTTATCGCAATGGTTTGGTTCACAATGCAGGTTAAAGTAATAAGCAGGGATCCCTCAATTCCACAGAGGCATATTGTGTGAATCATGTTGTTAGTTGCAAAGTTGTGTCCGACCCATGGACAACGTTCCTCCAGGCCTTCCTGTCCTCTACCATCCTCTGGAGTCCATTCAAGCTCACCTTTATTACCCGG